AAGCTTCCCAGAGGCTCACAAGCACTGGATTTGGCTTCTTGGTAATATTTTCCTTGGGAACTCTGGTTCCATAAAAATGCCAAAAAATTGGATTCTCTAAAAGCTCTGGAGGCCAGAAGCCTGAAATCAGAGTATTGGCAGGACCACATTCAGTCTCCAAGGGCTGGATCCTTCCCACATCTTCCAGCATATGGAGTTGGCAGTATCATGATGCCATCTTCTATTCCTTGATTTATAGATTCACTATCCCAGCCTCTGACCCTGTCCTTACTGGTGTCTTGCCCTGCATCCCTGTTTATTCTAGTGGTCTAGGGACATCTGTTATTCACCGCCCGTCCTACTCCATCTTAAACAATCCATCTGTAATGATCCTATATCCAAGCAGACTCATATTCTGAAGTACAGGAATTACACACTTTGGAGATGAACTCAATGTAACCACACACACCCTTCCTTCTCACCTCATTGGACGGAGCCTGGAGCAGGATGGGCGAGTGACTTCCTAGGCCTGTGCTTTGACATGGGTCACTGAGGCTCTGAGGAGTCACCCAGAGGAGCCCGTGTGGGCAAGACAGGGCTGAGGATTAGGACAAGGGCTTTCCCGACGTGGAGAGGGTGTCAGTAGTCACATAATTGACGTGAGTGCTGTGTCCTTAGGACATGATGTGAGGTGATTCGTGAGCTTGTGTGGCTGTGCTGGGGAGATGGGCATGGGATGGGACTAAAGTCAGGAACTCCTGGAGTGTGGAGTAACAGGGACTTAAGGAAGCCAATGGAGACTTAGAGGAGAAGCCGTTGGGGCAGTGCCCAAGGGACAGAGGCAAGCAGTCAGAAAACCTAAGGAAATACTGTCCTTTAGACTGCGTGTGTGGCCCACGGGGGCCTTGAGTTTATGGCGATTCTCTTGCCTTAGATTCCAGTGTTGGCTGACAGCATCCCAGCTGAGCCCACTGGCCTTGACGTAAGCCTAGTGAATATGGTGGTTGGGGGAAATGAGGTGTGACATCTGAGGATTCGGGCTCTGTGGCTGTGCCCTTCCTTCTGGGCTCACCACGTCACATGATCAGCTAGCAGGCCTTTCATATTGTTGTTGATGACCTTAGCTTCAGAGGCCCAGTCCTTCCCTCCTGCAGTTAATGATTGGTGACAATTACAGATAACATTTGGGCAAAGATTGCAAGCCCTTGCTCTCCATCTCCTCAACTGCCGGTCTTTCTTAAAGGGACAGAACCAAAGGACTGAGGGGAAGACTGATGGCATCTGGGAGTTCAGGGAGGTGACACCGTGTGTGAGATGGAATGAGAGTTCTGGGGTCAGTGGGCAGATGTAAAGATTGGCTTCACATATAAATGCTTCAGGAGAGACTTGAAGGCCAGGCTCACAGGGGACAAGGTTCTACTTCTTGCTCTGCTATGTGTGAGGACAGACCCCAAATGAGACTTCTTTAAAATTTTGTCTGAAAGTACAGAATTTATTCTCAAGATTACCATGATTCCCAAAGAGAGAGGGATATGACACAGAGCTAAGTATATAAATAAGTTGTGAAAAATGTGATCCAGGGGCTGGAGAGATGGTTCAGTGTTTAAAAACACTGAGTGCTCTTTCAGAGGACCTGGGTTCAATTCCCAACACCCACATAGTGATTAACAAACATCTGTAACTCCAGTTCCAGAGCATCCAACATCCTCATCTGGCTTCTGTAGGCTTTGCCCACATAGTACATAGACACATGTATAGGCAAAAGACCCCCACACACACAATTTTAATTTTATTTTTTTAAAAGTAGACGCTACAAAGGGGGCTAATGTCTTCTGCTCTCTCCTTATATTTCAAACTATCCCCAATATCCAAAAATTACAAAAGCTAAAACTAAAACCCATCACTCTCACTTCAAGCTTTGTGGAACTGGCCTTGTTTCCAGTCAGCACCTGCAAGGCCAGAGCCAAGGGAGAGAAAAGGCTTTTACCATGCACAGTCAGCCAGAACCCCAAACGGTTTAAAGAACCCTTCATAAAGGACCCTCTCATTCACATTGAGTCACCCAGCTTCAGACTGGGGGATCATGAGAAGTGCAGGGGTTGGACTCTTACCAGTGCGTACCCTGCAGAGGAGAGGGGAGTGTCCTCAACACATCCAGCAGAAGTCACATGCTCAGTGAGACCCTGATCCCTTCTGAAAACCAGCAGAACTGGTAGAATGCAAATACTAAATATGCCAATGGGCTCCTTGTAGGCACTAAGAAGCCTAGGTGGACGTGACTGGTAGGAAAGGAGATGGTCAGGCCCCGGCCACCTCCTAGACACCTCTTCAACACCCAGAGGGAAAGCACAGTTGAAGAGTGGCCAATGGATAACAATACAAAGCAGAGGGACATAAACTAAACCTAAGAGGGGCTCTGAACAGGGCTGTTATCTGAGAAAGACACCAGTGGGTGTGTGTTCAGGAAGAATCCTCCTCCCCCCCACCCACACCCCCGCTAAAGCTCCAGCCATGTCTGTGGCATTGTATGCTGCAGCCATAACAGGCCCCAGTTCCCACTCCCACAGCTTATCTGAGCATGAGTCCTCCGACCCTTCTTAGCTTAGTGCCATTGTGTTAATGCGCACTCAGTTGTCCCCCTGGTTCAGATCTAGCCTCTTGAGTAGGTACAAGGTAAAACAGCAATGTAAATATTCCGAACACCAAATGTTGTTTCACCACAAACTGACCTTCTGTTACCTACAGCAGCCTTTCTAATTGGTTGTCTGAAGCCAGTCACTGCAAGGACTTTGTCTTTAAAGAGAAGATTAGATCCTGGGTCCTGGGCCCTGAATAAAAACTCTGATAGTTTCAAGTCAAGTTGATGGTCACAAATGGTTTCCAACCAATCTCAGTCTGTCTTGCCATATCAGGCAGAAAGGGATTTCTACTTGCAAGGACAGGTTACGACCAGTGTCACATGTCAACTGGTAGTAGCCAAAGGAGATCAGAAAATTGGCTCTTTCTTCTCTTTAGGATTACTGAAAAATGGGGCTAAAGAGATAGCTTAGTGGTTAAAAGCACTTGCTGTTCTTCCAGAAGACCTAGGTTCAGTTCTGATACTCACTTGGTTCACAACCACCACCTATCACTCTAGTCCCAGGGGACCTGACACCCTTTCCTGACCTCTTTACGCACCAGGCACATTCATGGTGCACAGACATACATGCAGATAAAACACCCTCACGTGTAAAGCAAATCAATTTAGAATGATTAAAGAGGAAGAAATCTCTGATGGGGGAATGATGTAGATGGGGGAATGAGGGAATGAGGGAGATGAGGGAATGAGGGAGATGAGGGAATGAGGGAGATGAGGGAATGAAGGAGATGAGGGAATGAGGGAGATGGGGGAATGAGGGAGATGGGGGAATGAGGGAGATGAGGGAATGAGGGAGATGGGGGAATGAGGGAGATGAGGGAATGAGGGAGATGGGGGAATGAGGGAGATGAGGGAATGAGGGAGATGGGGGAATGAGGTAGACAGGGAATGAGGTAGACAGGGATTCTTATTGGATAACAAATCGATCCTTGAGCCCATATATTCTGTAAAGTGAAATGTGTCCCTTCTCTCCACTGTCAGCTGCGCACGGAAGGATCCTGTCCCTAGACCTTCCAACACTCTACTTTTGTCCCGGGGACAAAGTGGGTCACGGGTCGGGAGACACCATAGGTTCACAAATGAACAGGACACTGATTCATATCTTACATGAGAAAAAAATTCTGTCAAGACATAAGGATGACTCTTAGAATGTGCCACTCTCAAGAGCAGTGGAAGATTGGCAGACCCAGGGTGACTCCAGCAACCCCCACAGAAGGGCCTGCTCTTCCCTGTGATTTGGGGCTGATGGATCTCTCAGTGTTTTCCCATAAGCTTTCCTCATTTTCCTTCTGGATACCGTCCCCGCATCTCCTCCCCATACCTCTTCCTCATCTTCCCCTCCTGCCCTCCCCATCTCATGGGAGAGCTTCTGTGTGGACGATTGCTCGTGAACTCACTATTCCTGCACAGCAGTTTCTGTTAGTATTGGTGACGTTCCTCAACGCTATTTGTCACGGATCCCTGGGAAAGTGCCCTCATGTGGCATCATGGATCTTGAAGTAGCTGTGCATGTCCCCGTGACCCAGGAGGGCTGCACTTGACTCAGTGTTCTGCCTTGCTGTCCTATTCACTGGGGCACCAGGGTGCCATTTCCTGCTGAGCCGTGACACATGCATAGACAACCCTGCCTTGGATTTAGTAGATCATGAATGGGAGGGGAGCAGAAAGCCTTGGGGCAGGGGAGTCAGCTCCCACAGTTGTGTAGTTAGGTTAAAGGTTGATAAGATGAAGGTGAGGGTATGAGTTACTCGGGACTGTACAGAATTTGGTGGTTTTCAGAACAACATCATAAGATAGAATTCACTGACTCTGCTATGTGACAGAGCTATAGATGATCATTGTGGAGTTTCTCGCCCATGGGAAGTTCAGATGGGCTGGGAGCAGGCTCTGACAGCACGTACAACACCTGAGCAAGGGCAAGCCAGACAAAAAACCCCACTCCAGCAGAGAAGCTATTCATGAGTTATAACACCTGGAGAAGGAAAATCGGTTTTCTTCAAGGAGATGACACTGGACATGACAATCACATCCCAGGGCAGGCCTCAGGCTCAGGAGTACTTGGTCAACAAATCCAACTTCATGTTGTTGCTAAGGCATAAAAAACATCAAGTTCAGAGAGGAGGGAGGTGGAGAGGATTTGGGAGGACTTACTTGGGGAAAGTGAGAGAATATGACCAAAATATATTATATGGAATTATCAAAGAATAAATATAAAAAAGAAAAGAAAATGCTCGTTCTTTTTGTGCTGTGATTTTGTCCCCATTTACAAGCTACCAGGTGTGTTCACTATTTCAAGGGAAGAATGACCCACAGAGACGATGGAAATGTCTAAAGGAAGCTTTAGTTAGACAAATTTATTTTTAAAACTCTGAATGCATAAAGTTGAGGCTCATCACCTCCCAGCCTTTGCAAAGCTGTTGTCGTGTTCCCGGTACTGTGAACTCTGAGCAGAGTTCCAAGTAAAAATCAATTTTTATAAGATTTCCTTCCTAGATATAACATTTTCTAAGACCAGTGTTATCTGCTATCCCGGTCCCCGATGGCCTGGGGCATCATTCTGTGGTACAGTACGCAGATCAGGATGGCCACACCCAGGAAGATAATCACGCCCCGTCTCCTGCCTGGCCAGTAGGATATCATCCATTTCCACAGCCCAGTTAGCAGCCTGGTGGGCAGGGGCCTCTGCATCCGTGCTGCCACCATCTCTGACACCTTGGTGAGTTGGTCCTGGGGGTCAGCGCCCCGCAGGGTCCTCACCAGATCATACACTTCGTTGGTGTAGTACGTGCCCCCATGCTCCCTCACCAGCCCAGCGACCAGGCCCAGCAGCTGTTCAGCTTGTTCCTCGCGCTCCTGGCCGGTGGCGCGGTTGTTCAGGGCACACACGCGGCCCCCGCATTCGGCCACCAGCTCCCGCAGCGCACGGTTGTTCGTGAAGCACAAGTAATCCTGAAGAGGCTCTCCAGCCAGGTCCTCCTTGCGTGTGAACACCACAACAGTCCGTGCCATCACCTTCTCCCCAAACACCCTCTTCACCCCGGCCAGCGCCTGGCTGTCCTGAGCAGTGAAGCGACCCAGCTGGGTGACCAGCAGCAGTGCATGCGGCCCAGGCGACGACAGTAGGAAGCAGTGGGCTGTCTCCATGCATGTGGGGTCGGTCTGAGAGACCTCAGAGCTGAAGACATCTGGGGTGTCCACCACCTCCACCTGCCAGCCAGCCCACTTCCTGCTGGCCCAGGAGCAGGCTTTGGTGACAGGCACAGCCCCCAGCTTGGAAAGGAAGCACTTCTGGCCCAGGATGCTGTTACCTGTGGCACTCTTGCCGGTCCCGGTCCTGCCTACTAGGATGAGCCTCAGTAGGGGCATCCGAGGGGCCCATGAATCCTCCTCTGAGCCTGAGGACAGATATGGCAGCATTGAGTCAGAGTCATGGCTTTCCCCTGGGACTCACCTGTGTTCTAGCCTTCAGCACAAAAGGGAAGGACCCACAGTGCCTGCTCCCCTTGGAAGCCTGGTGCTCCCATCTGCTTTGGGCTCTCAGAGCTCAGGCTCCTCCCCATCTTTCCTCTCTGCATTTGGATTCTCTGTGCACCTGCAGGTGCTCCCGCTGCATTTCAGAAGGTGCTCATGATAACTCCTGGGTCCACCAGGGTCTCTGGTCCTGCACACACAGGCCGACCTGATGCTGATCTGACCCTAATGTTCCCCTCACATGCTGGCCATTGAGCACATGGGAGCCCCTCAGTCCCAGACACGGGTTGAATCACAGCCCACCAAGTGCTCCTTGTGTAAGGGCAGGGAGTGCTCAGTCTAGGACATAACTCTTCTGCAAAAGCAGAGATAATGTGGGGCTTTCAACTGGGTTGTTAGAGAGTGAGAGAAGAGAGCTCACCCTCGTCCCTCTTCCTCCTCTCTTGTCTGAAGCTGGCTCCCTAAAGAGAATGCCCCCCTTTTAGATAATATTTTATTACATTTTATTTATGAGGAGGTCATACTACTGTGTCCTCTGGAGGCTAAAGGTCAAGTTTCAGGAGGCAGTTCCCTCCTCCCATCATGTGGGCTCAGGAGTTGAAATCAGCTCATCAGGTTTGGCTGCTTGTGCCTTTACCCACAGTCATCTCCCTGATCCCCCAAATACTAAATACCAGTTAGTCCCCTGTTCGGGAGACCTGGTGAGTGAGGCTCACTCTACTGTTGGATTTTTCATCCTCTGTGTTATCTTTGTGGAGACCAGAGAAGGTTTAGGATCCTCCTTCATGCTTAGGAACCAGTGACAGGCTGGTCAAAGCTCTGAGCTTATCTCAGCAGGGCAGGGACAGAGACACAGCCAAATGCAGGACCCAGGTCCTGCTGTTTCATCCCAGGGGCTTCCAGACCCGAGGAAGTTCCACCCACTTCTTACCCTGGGCTCCACACCAGCCAGGACACCTTGAGAGAAGGAATCTTACCATAGGCGCTTTCCTTGTCTCTTGCCATCTTCCTTCCCCCCACGTGTCTCAGAGGACTCTCAGTTCCGATTTCCTCATCCATGTGCTCATTCCTGCAAACAGGCAACACCCAACCACATCGTCAGGCAGAGTCCAGGGAACAGGGCACTTCAGGGAGACAAAGTAAGGCTTCTGTCTAAAAGGAATTGAACATGCAGGTGTGTGCTTTGGGGGACTGGCGGGTGTCTAGGGACATGGTGGGTGCCTTTGTCCACCATAGTAAAATCTGCTATTCCTTTTTAGAGATAGCATCTGGATTTTGAAGAATAGCTTCTGGGGAGCCCAGAAAGAAGGTTTCAGTGCTGTCTTGACAACTTGAGCTTGCTCTCTGCCCCTGTAAAGGCAGATGGAGAGGACCAACTCCACAAAGTTATCTTACCCGTTTCTGAGCCCTTCTCTTTAAGCAGCTTCCCTTCCACCGAAGATGCTCCGACTGCAATGCTATTTGATAGAACCAAGTGCTCTCTGGTCCCGTGTGCCTGATCCCAGGAGTCCCTAAGCACAAAAGCACAGTGTACCCTCAGTCTGCTGGGCCAATCTCATTCCAGCTAACAGGCCTCTGCCTGTGGCTGCACATACACTAGATTCTGCCTCTCCAGGCCTCTCTGGCTTTTCTCTGGTGAGAGCTTTGCTCCCACGTTCTGTCTGAGCGTTTCTCTGCATTTCTCCATCATTTCAGAATCTCTTTGTCTCCACTATGGGTGATGTGTTTCCTCCCACACTCCCTCTGGTGGGCACCACACAGTGAGAAATGGAAAATGTTAACGCAACAGCCTGTCTCCCGAAGAGGGGCTTTGGGAACAGGTTGGGTTAACACTCCCTCTCTCTCTCTCTCTAAAGCCTTTAGTAGAACGTACTGTGTGGTTCTGTGTCACTGCTCTGGGTGCAGAAATCGACAAATTCCCATAAACGATGCAGAAACGAAGAAACAACCATAAGACTGAGGGTAAGAAACAAGACTTCTGCAGGAGCTTGAAGACCTTGTCCTTGAGAAAAAGGAGAAAGTATGTGCTGTTCTTCAAGGGTCTCCAGGGGAGGCCACCAGGAATCCCCAGAGTTCATAGTGAAAGCAGATGTTATTTTCAATGATTTTTAAGACAAAAATAAACAGATCTTGGGTGATAGATGGTTTTTATTATCTGGGAATATAAAGCATGTATGATTCTGTATGCTTAAGAGAACTCGAGAGTCATCTGGTTCCTTGCCTCCAGGCTTGATGTTTCTCAAAAATATTTAGGTGTTCCCCTCAACATCACATTTCTTGAACCCATCCCCAGTGGTTCTGGTACAAGTGGTACATTTCTCATGAAGTTAATCCACATCCAGGTTTGAAAACGAGCTGTTTCATAAACTCTTCATTGTAGACATAAAGAAACCAAGGTCTCTGCAGTTGGAGTGGGAGAAACTTGAATCAGGAAGCAAAGGTTTAAATGCTAGGTGGGGACAGGGCTTGATGACCAAGTTCCACTCTCCGAGGTCCGTTAGAGCCCCCCTCCTACAGGTGGTGAGGATAAGAGACTTCAGAGGGGCGCAGAATTGGCACCTAGAGACTGGCCTCGAAAGAATGGTGTATAGGGACCCAGGAGTATCTTTGGCCTTCTTTGGATCAGTTCATGGAAAAAGCTTGGGCAGGGATAGCGCCATGTCCTGCTCCAACGTGTCATCCTCAGGCTCCACAGACAGCATCTCCTTCTTCTCACCCCACACCTCTTTTAAATGCATGTTAAGGAGGAGATAAATACACATGAAGTGGTCCTTTTCATTTGTGAATTAGGGGCTGGAGAGATGGCTCATCAATTAGGAGCACATGCTATTCTTGTAGAGGAGCAGGTTCAATTCCCAGCACCCTCATGATGGCTCATGACCATTCACAACTGACTATTCATAACTCCAGTTCCAGGGGATCCAATGACCTCTTCTGACCTCCACCCTCCCCTGACCTCTGACCTCTTCTGACCTTCACCTTCCCCTGCCCTCTGACCTCTTCTGACCTCCACCCACTCCTGACCTCTGCCCTCTTCTGACCTCCACCCTCCCCTGACCTCTGCCCTCTTCTGACCTCTGCCCTCTTCTGACCTCCACCCTCCCCTGCCCTCTGACCTCTTCTGACCTCCACCCTCCCCTGACCTCTGCCCTGTTCTGACCTACGCCCTCCCATGACCTCTGCCCTCCCTTGACCTCCATGGGTACTGGTACGCAGTGCCTTTATTTGTGAATGAATGTGACGTCGTCGTTCTTCCTCTGAACCCACTCTTGAATTGACTCTGTTTTCTGGATGTTAGCAGAGGGGTAGTAGAAAAGACAATGAAGGCATTCAAGCCCTCACCCACTGCAGGCAAACTCACAAACTTAGTGCTCGCTCATGCAACGGAGAGAAGTGGTAAACTGTTAGACTGGCATTTCATTTCCTTATACTTTATAGAAACCCTTGATATATTGTTAGAGTTACTTGAGAGTTACTTTGAGATGTTTGGATGGAATTGTTAGGGCTCTGCAGAGGCTGGGGAATGCAATGGTGGCTTCCTTCCTTAAGATTACCATGTAGGTCTTCTCAATCTGGAGTTTTGCTATATAGCTTTATATTGGATGTGTTCTATTCAGAACAAGGGGGCCTTTAGTGTGAACTACAGTGTGGTGGGAATGGAGAAGGTTCGGTGGGAGGGAGCTGTGAGTGGGTCAAAGCTTCTGTCTGCAGGACTTGCAGACAAGCCCTTAAAGGCACATGCAAAGCGATGCTTCTTAAAGTTCCATTTGAGCATTCAGAGCCGTGACTTCAGTGAGTGCACGTGGCGGAGCTGCTGCGATGATGCAGTGGGCTGTTAAAATGGAATCTTGGTGCATCTGTGAACTCAGGGTCTCACACTGAATCTGCCTTCTACCCTGCTGTAGCCCAGTAATGAACAGAGCCGACCAACGCTACCTTCAGACTCCTCTGACTCTACAGTGCTCTTGGTGGTCTTGGGGAAGCAAACTCATCAAGGCAGGAATGCTCCCGCCTTGGGAAGGTGTGAAAGATCCCACTCCTGTCTCCACTAGAGCACGTCGGAGGACCTAGGAACAGGTGACGGCCAGAGGCACAAACATGTCCCTTATTTAACTGTCTCTGCTGTCTGTGGTCATTTGGACCGCTTTCTCTGAGCCCCGGCAGAACTCAGTTGGACTCTCTGGGCTTTGCCAGAACTCCTGATACAGGAAACCATGAGTGTAATAAAAGTATTGTGTGTCCTCAGAGTTTAGACTGACTTTTAATGGAGGAGCAAGTGACTCAGTTGCCTAAATTGACTTCTTCAAGGAGAACCAGTTAATAATTGATATGTGCATTTACAAGTTTGATAAATATTACTGCTTACAATAAAAACTAGCAAAATGCATTTCACTAGCATCTTATTAATGTTAGTTTTTCTCAAGTCTTTGCTCACTTTACCAATATAATAGGTGAATTTTTCATTGTGATTTTCATACAAATTGCTCAATGGGGAAGTAGTTGAATCATTTTTAATATACTAAGAACAACATCTATTGATATCCATCTTACGCATTTACTGACCATTTCTCAGTTCTGCTGTTGGCTATTTTGATGTTGTTTTGTAGCAGTACACTTTCTTTTTGGCTCAAATGACAGACAGCTTGTCTTGTCCTCTTGAATTTAGAAACCAAACTTCTAGATTCTTCCACTGTTGGATTGTTATAGCTAATGTCTAGAAGAATCTTAGTAGTGGCAGTGACAGTAGGTCCCATATCTTCTTCCTGGTGTCCATGGCATGATGTCAGTGTTTCTTATTAAACAGGATGGTGACTGTGGTTGGGATGGAAAACTCAGCTACAGGTAAGAAGGTACCCATTTGTCAGAGTTTTAACCTCATTAATTACCATTCGGTTGCTAAGGAAGTGGTCCCTGCTTCGAAACTCTGGAACACTTTAAGTTATATGGAAATATTTTCAAATATTGAATCTTGTTTGCCTCCATAGGACATGTCTCAGTCATTTAAGACACCGCCAGATTCTGTTGGTTGTTAGCTTATTTAGTTTTTGGCATTGATATTAATAAGTGATCTTGTCCACTTCTAGTATATAGAAAGAAATTTTCTATTTTTTAAAAAATTCAATTTATCATTGTTATATGTATGGTGTTTTGCCTACCTGTGTGTCTGTGCTCCACATGCATACAGTACCCAGGGAGGCCAGAAAAGGGTGTTGGGTCCCCAGAATCTGAGTTATAAATGGTTGTGATCGCCATGTGGGTGCTGAGAATTGAACCCAGGTCCTTCGCAAGAGCATCAAGTGCTTTTAGCGGCTGAGTCACCTCTCCAGTCCCCAGGTCCTCTCTCTCTTTGGTCACCTTAGTTGTATCTGAACCTGGTTCAGGAAAGCATAGGTTCCATCTCACCTCCAGACATCTCAACTGCGGTACTTTTCTGACTGTGCTCCCACCCTGGCGAGTGTTATTGAGAAGAATTCTGGGGTGCTCTGGGAGGGACAGGGGGCCCACTGATGGTGGCAGCAGTCTGAAAACGCTTCTAAGAAGAGATGAGATGGTTTGCAATGAAGCTGAAGTGTTGAAAGTGAGTCGGGAAGGGACTGGATGTGTTTCTAGGAAGAAACGGCAACACAACCCGAGGTCAGTGGCAACAAGACCCCCTCAGGTTGTCAAGGGAACCAAAGGGCGAGAGATCTACAGATGGAAGTCAGGAAAAACCTCCTCAGGGTTTGTCGCATCCCTCTCCCTCACTGTGCTTCACGGGAGCTGGGTTCTGGTTCTCTAACTGGGACCCTCGTCCGCTTCTCGGCTTCCTCACCCACCGCCTTAGTGTTTGTAGACAGGTGATTGTGGTCAAAGGGAGCAGAGGAGCCTTAACTGAGACCTCTGAGAATGCTCCCGGGCTTCTCACCTGCTCCTCAGAAGCTCCTCAACAACTACCATTTCCTCTCCAAATGTGCTGTGAAAGCCCCCCCTGTTTCGACTTCTTATCTGTCCTCAGTTCAACTATATTGTGAGATGAACGATATGGTTAGGTGGTTGGCCACGTGTGAAAGGTAACTGCTTTGGGTTCAATGTGTGAAGAAAACTGTAAGATGGTGCTACAGAGTCCTCGTGGATGGCAGAGGACCGTCCTTCCCTGTGTGAGCAGAGGGTCGAACATCCTCCTCTGACAAAACATACCCCCACTGGTCTCAAGTTTATGAGCAAACGTTTTCCATGAGGACAATGACCAGACAAAACAAAAAGCTCAGGGAGAGGCTGGGATAAAGCTCAAAGCAGCTGGATATGATAAACACTTCAAGGACTCAAGTCCCTACATGGTGGGTGCTTGCTGGCAGTTCTGCTGCTATGACCCAGGGCCTATTTGTTACTCTTGGATACACAGCACCATGGGAATGAGGTGAGCTCTGCACACCTAACACTAGGAGCCTGGGTTTGAACACTTATTTTAGATGCAAGGCTCAAACAGCATACTCTACAATAAAAGTGATTTCATCCATGAGAGCTACAAAGACACATGGAAATAAATTTAACTTAGGAAGTGAATGGCCTCTGCAAAGAAAATTATAAAACACTAATGAAATAAACTGAAAAAGACACATGTACATAGATACGCACAGAGACACAGCTGTACACATGTGTGTGCATGCACACACAAATGGAAAGACAGGCCATGCTCGTTAATTGGAGAAAATATAGCTTAAATGTCCGTATTACCCAAATCACTTGACAGAGACAACACAGTCCTCATCAAAATTCCAGTGATATTCTTCAGATAACAAGACAAAGCAATCCAAAAATTCATATGGAAACACAAAAGACC